CAATAGTATTTTTAAATGTGATACTGTTAATGCTTCTGTAATGTGTTGATTATATGTGATTTCCTAAATTTTTTTTTTTTTTGGTGGGGAGAAAGTATCACTTAAAAAAAACTTACAGAAAGCAGCTCTGTGAAAGTATTCAGGTATTTGATATGATATACTTATTTTAGAATACAGAGTTTTTGAGATAAAATTTGGACTACTGACTTTGAAGTTTTTAGCTTAGAGGTGGTCTGTGTATTGGTGACATTAGAGGCTAATTAACTGATGCCATCTAGCTCCGTTATTCTGAAGGGACTTTGTTGTGGTACTCATAATGCCCTCTGCTCCTGTTTTCTGGGTCTCACATACTCTGTACTCAGTCACAAGGGTTTCTGTCTTGTTTACTTCTCATGTTGCATGCCTTTTACAGGGCTTCTCAAGATGAGTTTAGGGGCCATGATAACTTCTGTTGCCTTGGCATTATTTCGTAACAGTTGTCCCTTCTCTGAATTTTTTTTTTTTTTTTTTGAGACAGAGTCTCACTCTGTTGCCCAGGTTAGAGTGCCGTGGCTTCAGCCTAGCTCACAGCAACCTCAAACTTCTGGGCTCAAGCGATCCTTCTGCCTCAGCCTCCCGGGTAGCTGGGACTACAGGCACGCGCCACCATGCCCGGCTAGTTTTTCTATATATATGTATTTTTAGTTGTCCAGATCATTTCTTTCTATTTTTTGGTAGAGACAGGGTCTCGCTCTTGCTCAGGCTGGTCTCAAACTCCTGACCTTGAGCGATCCACTCGCCTCGGCCTCCCAGAGTGCTAGGATTACAGGCGTGAGCCACCGCGCCTGGCCCCTTCTCTGAATTTTTTACAGAAGACTAACTGAAATAGTTGGTAAATTTTTCTCTATGTTTCTTACCATTCTCCACAAGGTGTTGGCATATGTAGAAGAAAATACAGTAAGACTGGTGATCAAGATTGATTGAATAGAATCTCGACTAGTATATTTAATACGTTTCTATGTTATAATTAACTGTAAGTCCATGGGTAAAATAAAAAGGGTAAATTTGTTAATTTCTGTTATAATAAGAAAAAAATTGATTTTGAAATTTCACACAAATTTTGCCATGAAATTTGGCATTAAAATATTCTATTAATATGTATCATACAGTCATATAATTTATAGAAATGTAACTATATTTAAAGAGTTCATCATTGTCTCCTTTTTCCAAAAGGTTTAATTTTTAGATATCCAGAAGATGACTATGAGTCTTTCCCACTCTCAGAATCTGTACCTCTTTTCTGCCTTCCTATGGGAGCCACTATTGAATGCTGGGATCCTCAAACCAAATACCCACTTCCAGTTTTTTCAACTTTTGTCTTGACAGCTTCTTCAGCCGAAAAGGTATGTTTTTGCCTTGTTGATTAAATCTACTTTGTCCATGTTTTTATCCCATAAAATGGTTATTGTAAGTTATTTGTTAGGATTATTTAGACATGATACATTTTGGTTTAAATGTATACTATAATCCCCAAGATGAAAAGTCAACATGAAAATTGGTATCGGGATACTGATACTCCTGGAGCAATAATAGAAACTAATATAAAGTCTCTCTGGAGAAACACTCCTCAAACCCAGGTCTCAAGATGAGATTAAATTGACAGAAGATGTCACAGAAGGATGTACCATAGAAAAAATCAGAAAGACATGATTTAAAAAGCTGGATTATACCCTCAAGACATTGAAATGATAGAATGACATTATGAAAGATGTTATAATTTGAATATATAATTAAAATGATTTAAGATCTAACAAACGGGCTCAAAATATCAAGGAAAGTACAGGGTATTTTGAAAAATAAATAGATTGGAAAAAAAATCAAATGTTTGGAAATGAAAAATGTGGTCTTCAAAATAAAAAATTCAGCGAATGGTTTTTTTTTTTTTTTTTTTGAGACAGAGTCTCGTTCTTTTGCCCAGGCTAGAGTGCAGTGGCATCAGCCTAGCTCACAGCAACCTCAAACTCCTGGGCTCAAGCGATCTTCCTGCTTCAGCCTCCCAAGTAGCTGGGACTACGGGCGTGTACTACCACGCCTGGCTAATTTTTCCATTTTTAGTAGAGACAGGGTGTCACTCTTGCTCAGGCTGGTCTCGAACTCCTGAGCTCAAGTGATCCTCTCGCTTCGGCCTCCATACCCACTAGGAGGGGTATTTTAAAAATGGAAAGTAAGTATTGGCTAGGATATGGAGGAATTGAACCTTTGAACATTGCTGATGGGAATGTAAAATGTTGCTGCTGCTTTGCAAAAATAGTTTCACAGCTCCTCCAAAAGTTACACATAGAATTGCCATATGATTCAGCATTTGCACTCCTAGACATATACTCAAAAGAATTGAAAGCAAGGACTCAAACAGATAGCTGTATACCAAGCAGCATTATTGACAATAGGCAAAAGGTAGAAACAACCCAAATGTCCATCAGCAGATAAATGGGTAAACAAATTGTGATATGTACATGTGAAAGAATATTATTCATTCCTTAAGAAGGAATGAAATTTAGATACATGCTGCAATGTGAATGATCCTTGAAAACACTATACTAAATGAAGTAAGCCAGACACAAAAGAACAAATACTGTATGGTTTCACTTACCTAGAATAGGTAAATTTGTAGAAACAGAAAATAGAATAGAGATACCAGGGACTTCGAATTGGGTTGGGAGAATGGGAAGTTCATGTTTAAGGGGTACCATAGCTTTTGTTTGGGATGATGAAAAACAAATGCAATTTGAAGAAGGTCATTAGAGTGTATTCTCTAGGATAGGAGCTAGGTAAAAAATTTCACTGTGTGGTTAAAAATGGAAGCAGGTTACAAGAAGGTACCATCCATTTTTGTATAAGGTATATGGTTGAATGTATAATTGTAGTGAAAAAATTCTAGTGGGATTTATATCAAAATCTGGTTGTCTCTGGAATAGAATTTTGGGTGAGATTTTTCTTTCGTTTATCTGTATAATATGCACTCCAAGCAAATTTTTCTTGTAAGAGAAAAAGAGAAGTTAATTTTTAAAAACAAATCTTATAACAGAATTCTATTACTCTGTAGGTATATGGAGCTGCCATCCAGTTTTATGAACCTTACTCTCGGGAACTTCTAACAGAGAAACAGCTTATGCAGCTGGGCCTGTTGACACCTGTGGAGAGAAAAATTGTCCCCAAATCCATCAATTCAAACAAATGCATTTGTTTACTCTCACACTGGCCTTTTTTTGAAGCTTTTAGAAAATTTCTTATGTTTATCTACAAACTTTCTGTGTCTGGACCACATCCTCTTCCCATTGAAAAGTATGTATAATGGTTTGAGAGCTGTCTGGTGGAAAACTGGATGTAGAAATGTAGAAACAAACATTTCATTGTTTAACTTTTAGCAGCAAGGTTGAATGGGAAGGACAGTCACATTCACACTTCTTTTTACTTATTCCCTTTTTCACCTCAATCATTGGTTGTAAATTTAAAGGGTGCTGATAAGGATGGTCAAATAATCTTTTGAGAATTCAGCTGAAGAAATAACTCCTATAAATTGTATTGTGTGTGTGTGTGTTCTTCTTCCTATTCATTCTCTAATAACTAAGAGAAAAATAGTTATTAACACAAAGACACTCTCTACCCCAATACAGTGGCCATTCCAAGTTCAAACTATAAAACTTCTCTAAACTCATAGTAAGGGTGAATTAATTGATGTTGAAAGTGAGGTTTTGGTTTTGGCATTGACAGACTTCTTGCCTTCCGTTTGATTTGTAATTCCTTTTGTTATGGAAATCTTTTGTAAGCAAGAAAAATATATGTGGATCTACTGTTTTTTTAAACCATCTTTTCTGATTTCTAGTGGCACATTGACTTTTGTTTATTATAGTATATAATTTATATACTCTGCTAACAAACCAAGAAGTGTCAAGAGCTTTGTGTAATGTATTAAAGTATGTGTAAGCATAGATTTTTTCTCACAATTTAAAAAATTTCACATTACAGCAAAAAGAATAGATGTGAAACATACTAGTTCAGTGGATAAGGTGGGGCTAATTATTAATACCTGAAGGTTTTAAAATAATGCTGTTCAAAAATCAACTTTAAAAATAGTAAAATACTGTGCGTAAACTCATCACAATTTGATATAGAAATATGATTTTAATATTACAGTACTCCTGGAATGCCAGTTTAGTGGTTCATAGTTTTAGATTTAACTTTCAGCTGTCAGCTTAATTTAAACCCTTTCGAAGTAAAATTTAAGGTTAGTGACAATTTAGCAACTTTTTGAAAAATTAAAATTCTGTGAATAGTTTGTGAAAATAAAATCAATGTATGCAATCAGTTTTTTTCTCAGTTGAAGTAATACCTTGCATTTTAGTGGCTCCTAAGAGCTGAAAACTTTGAAGAAACTTAAGAAGCATTATTTATAGGTAGAGAAATAGAGTGGGTAGGTGGGTTTGCCCAAAGTTATAGTAGTAAATCTGGGATTAAATTCTGTATTAGTGTTAATTCATTATATCACAGTTAGCTGCTCCCTGTATTGGCACTGATAACCAGGGCTATAAAAGTTAGCTTCTTTCATGAAAACTATTTTCATATTATTTTTATTTTTCTGGTAATAATGGATATAAGTATAGATTTTCAATTATGAAATACATTATTCATTTTAGAAGTTTAATGGGCATGAATACATTAATTTATACTAAGCAAATTTATTTTGCATAAGTTTTAGATAAATGGCTTTGTTATATCTGAGATGATATATAGCGATATTTAAAATTTGTTAAAATCTATGAAGCATTTTAGAAATCTAGTTATGATCTTTATTTCAAAATTTTTTCCAGGCATATTTCACATTTTATGCAAAATATCCCTTTTCCTTCACCACAAAGACCAAGAATCCTTGTACAGGTAATCAAAAAAGAGTATATTTGGGGAGAGCTCTGCATATGTTCATTCCAGTCATTGCAGAATAGATTCTATAACCCTTTGGATTTGAGGTGGAGCAATATACATTCAAAAGTCCTTGGATTTCCTATATTTTATAGCTTTACTGAACAGCTTTTCTTACTGGGTTTTGGATTTTGATGTATGGAATTAGAATAATTATAATCCTTGGTTCATGATGGTATCATCATTGATCCATGCATGGCTTTTATGTAGCTAATTTTAATAACATAAAACCCAGAATTATTTTATTGGCATGTTCTTAGAGTGTCTAATATTAAATAAGAAATGAGCTATGGTTGGTGTTGTTAACTGAAAATCTAAAATAGTGCTTTTAAACTATGTTAAAGGACCAGTTTCTTTTTATTTCCAATAAGTGGCAGACCTAAATAGATATACAGCTTGTGACATATGCAGCTTACTGTGTGAGATCAGTATAGGCATGAATGGTCTGTACCCTGTCTATGGAAATGATTCCACTGATCACATGCTTGGATGTGGGAGCAAGGTTAGATTGCCATAAAAGTTGCTTAATGTTTTGCTCTCCATTTATTTACTATCTCTTCCTGGACCATAACAGTTTACATGCTGGCATTTTGAGTAGTACTGGTCTATAGAAGCAAGCTATTTAAACATTTTTCTAAGACATTCTCAACATTATACATGATAGAATTAAGTTAGATATTGTTGCTCTTGAATGTGTTTCAGTTCAGCAAGTATTAATATATGTCAGGCAACTGCCAAGTGCTTACCAGTCTGTTGAGTAAATAAATGAGGCTTTTAAAAAGCACTTACTCCAACTAGGCACTGGCAGGAGCTTATAATGCCAGCTGCTCGGGAGGCTGAGTAGCTTGAGCCCAGGAGTTTGAGACCACCCTGGGCAATATAGCAAGACTCTGCCTCAAAAAAAAGTTATTCCATAATTTTTAAAAAACTATTTTAACCAATTAACTGAATCAAAATTCAGTCAGACCAACCATTTAACTAAAAAGAACTAATATAATACCTCCAAGTAAATACAGCTATCATTTTATATTTTAGCATGTATCAAAAAGTATGTGCATATTAAACTATTTTCTATTTTACCCTTGACCTAAATATTTAGATTTCAAAAGTGTTTTGGTTAATTCATCTTTTTTTTTTTAAGCTGTCAGTCCATGATGCATTAATATTATCACAGCCAGTTTCTACACCTTTGCCACTAAGGTAATTAATAGTATTTAAAATAATATATTTATTCACTTGGCGCAGAATGCTTTAAAATATTTTAGGGGTTAGGATAATAAACTTAAATGTGGTATTACAAACTAGATAGTTTTAATGTTTCTAACTTTGATAGCTGGATGGATGGTAGGGCTATTTTACAAATGGGAGCACTTAAGAGAGTTGCAAGATTGGATATAGGGAATATCCTTTTTCTCTCATCTCCCCTTCTAATATCCAGTTCATAACTAAATGTTCAAGGTGAACTGATTTTAAACCCCTAAATGTCTTGAATCCATTTACTTTTCTTAATCTGCATCACTAGTCCCGGCTAGTGTGATTTCTTACCTGGACTACTTTGTTAACTTAATTGGGACCATTTACTGTCTTCCTTCAGTTCTTTATCTACCTTGCAACTAGTATGTCCTTTTGAAAATATATATATAATTTCACTTTCAGCCTAATCTCTTGCTGTTTTCACCCTCTCCTCTACTATGCTTTGATCATAATAGACTTATTTCAATTTCTTGAATATGACAATAGCTTTTTTTGCCCTAGGACCTTTCCATTTGTTGTCTCCTACCCCTTCCCTCTCACTCCTACTTCCATTCTTTTGAGCTCAGCTCGAATGGTTGTTCTTCAGGAATATCTTTCCTGGTAAATGCCCCTTTGTTATTAGAGGATGAGTTTAAATCACCTGTGTTATTCTATCTCATTAAATGTGTTACTTTTCACTAAGTAAATCAAGACTTGAAATTAACAATAAATTCCCAGTCTATTAATATTTAGGAAATAATTTAACAAGCAAATCTTAACATGTTTTAGCAAAATATTTCACAATTACCTCTTTCCCTTTTCTTCTAGTGGCGCTAACTTTAGCACCTTGCTAATGAATCTGGGTCCTGAGAATTGTGCAACACTGCTGCTCTTTGTTTTACTTGAAAGTAAAATCCTGCTGCATTCTCTCAGGCCAGCTGTATTGACTGGGGTAGCTGAAGCTGTTGTAGCTGTAAGTATAGAATTCTCTTTTTAGTATCAAATTACTGACAGGGAAGTTTTAGTCTAAAGGGGAGTTTTCTTTACAAAAAAGCAACTTTAAAAATTATTGGCCTAGTAAAGGTTTAACATAAATATAATCAGGTGGCAAAGAGAAATAGGAGGTATAAAGAAAACAAAGATGATTTATATTTGAGGAAAAATGTCATTTCTCGTTTTTCACATTTTAGAGTTCTCCAGAGAATAAAAACTATATGATTACATAATAATAAAACTTGTGAATTAACCTGATTGAATTAAGTGAAAGACTCTGGCCAATTTCAATTACAATGAAATTGTAATTTATTATGCAAATGAATTACAGGTTAATTTCTCCTCATTTTAACTTTTAATCATTGTGAGCCAATAATATATAGGAAATTCTAAGGGATTGTGAAATAGTATAATATACAAAAAGGCTTAGCCTTTGCCCTTGTGGAAAGCATAAATAAAAATTAAATCGAGTCCTCCCCCTGCTTAAAACTCTTTAATGGCTTCCCATTGCACTTGGAAAGAAGTCTACTCATGTAGGGCTTTATAGCCCGTAGGATAGAACTTTGGATGTTCCATTTCTCCAACTCTATCTCCCATTGTTGTTTAATATAAAATAGTTGACTCTGCTCTCTTCTCTTCCCCATTTTAAGAATGTAAGTCTCTTGGAAGTAAGGACCTAGTCTCTTGTTTACCCCTGTATTCTTAGCACTTGTTATAGTTGCCTAGCATGGAGTAGTACTTAATAAATACTTGTTAGAACAACAAATGTGGTATGTCTCCATGATCTTAATCTGGTCGGAGAAATGGTGCTAGGACAGACAACAATAATAACCATGTGAGCTGTCTTATAGACGGATCATCATCAGGCATTACTTTTCCAAGTCACTATGTGAAAGCAAAAGTTGCTATAATGTATAAATAACATAAATATTTGTTAATAAACTGACGGGTTTTAGAAATTTCCCACTCAAATATTCCTTTCCTAAAACATAAGTGTTTATCGATGTTCCTTTGTCAGAATCTTTGTGGCCCAGTCTCTTGGTTGATTTTAGCAATACAGTGCAAGAACAGGTGGAAAAAAATGCAATGTGGAATTGGTAATCTTACAGAAAATGCAAGATTGTATGAGGTTTATGTAACTGATGTTAGAGAGCTGTCTGAATTGCATGCAAAATCATTGATAAATCAGGATTTGGTAGTTAGGCCAGTTACCATTTTAAGAAGAGAAAATTGAAAAGAGTGATGACAGGATAAATGCTTCAAAAGGACAATGACCTGAATATCAGAGAATATAAAAGAGTATCAAAGAATTAATGGAGACCCATAGCAAAAATTGATGAAGCCCATAAGTGCTTTGTAAAAAATGACCCTATTTATGATTGTGTTGCAAAAGTCAAAGGTAAAGAGAAGGATGGCACATTTTGCTGTCACATAGTTTTGTTCCAAGATTTCTTACATAGTTGCAGGTGTAACATACCTTTTGTTGAATAGAAGATAGTCAGTTTTCACTCAAGGAAATCTGAAGTCCTGGCAAGGTCCTGTGCGAGTGCCTCTGCCCCTCAGCAGTCACATCTCATTTTCTACTACTGTTCATGCTTGCTCTGCTCCAGCCATACTGGCCTCCTTGCTACCGCTGGAGCATGTTAGGCAGTTCCCATACCTTAAGGCCTTTGCCCTAGCTGTTCCTTCTCTTTGAAGCACCCTTTTCCTAGGTATCTCCTGGTCTAAATCCCTTACCTTCCGGTTTCAGCTCAGTTGTTACTTTCTTAATGAAGCATATCCTGTTTGTCCTAATAAAACCTGCTTTCCCTTTATCTTGCTCTGAACTCTAATCTCCTTCATTGGCTTTACTTTTTCTCTTTTCCATAGCACTTCTTTTTTCTTTTTCTTTTTTTTCTTTTTTGAGACAGAGTCTCACTCTGTTGACCGGGCTAGAGTGCTGTGGCATCAGCCTAGCTCACAGCAACCTCAAACTCGTGGGCTCAAGCAATCCTTCTGCCTCAGCCTTCCGAGTAGCTGGGACTACAGGCATGTGCCACCATGCCCGGCTAATTTTTTTTTCTATATATTT